TTTACCCTGTAGAAATTAATACAGAGAGTGCCCCAGGGAACAACCCTTTTATGTACAGAGTAGACTTTAACAGCCAAGTAATTAAACCCTGAAAGTAAGAGCTTATAATTAAAATGCGGACAAACCTGAACTGGGGCGGCACAAGGAGGGCTGCTATAATATTTTTACAATTCCTTTTTATACATAATGTATGATCCTTCTGCTCAAGTTTCCTCTATGTTCTTTGCCTGTGAAATAATTTACATTAATAAATAATTTATTACCATAACTCCTAAAGTAATTATGGGTTTCCATCCAATTTTTTTTAGCACATGAATTGTTTTGTTCTCTGTCCACTGACTTGTATTTACAAGACTTTTCCTAGTAGCCTTTTTAAAATAATTGGTATTGCCTTCGCTTTCTTACATATGAGTGATTTCCAGGTCTCCTCCTCGCCTGAGTGCTGAGGAAAATGGAATGTGTGGTGCCTATTGTCCCTACAATACAAATGCACTGAATGGCTGCAATTAGCCAAGGGTGGTGAATGGAGACTGCGTTCACTCCACTTGCCTGTTTCACCAAAAAAGATTAAACTAATACACGTGTGACCCTGGGTCCCTCACTGCAAATGGCAGAAGATGTGGAGGGAGCCTGGACTGAGAGTCCACATGTGGCCCTGCTTCTCCCCACACAGGATGACTCTCAGCCACAGCCCGGGCCCCTCTTTGTACCCACTAGAAATCAGAGTCAGGAGCAAGGGCTGGCTCCCTCGCCCAGTCGGCTGTCCAGTGGGTGGGCCGCACCACGGAGCTGCCACCTGACCTATGTTTCCTGTGTCGAGAGCACAAGAACCAGTCATATAAATGGCTCTTTCCCAGAGCAGCTTTGTAGAGGAAATTCCATTTCAGCAAAGAAGGTGAGCTGGGGATGCTCTGGGAGACGAGAAAGGAAGCCAAGAGTCAAAACAGCCTCTGCTGGCAGGAGCCCTGTGGTGGGGACTGAGCTGGCACCCTAGTAAGGGGCACTCAATCCTGGTGCAGGGCTGGCTGGGCAGTGCTCAGCTCTACCCTCTCTGCTTCTCCCATCCACACTCCATGCTGGCTTTGTTCTCTTCCACACTGAGAAGCACAAAACCACTTCTCTGTATCAAGTTCCTAAACTGGGGTAGGGGATAAGAGTGGGGAGGGGCCTGGTATCCAGCTTGCAATTATAGGGCGTGAAGTGCTTTTAATTAAAAAAATAAATAAAAAGCATAGGCCAGGCGCCGTGGCTCACACCTGTAATCCCAGTACTTTGGGAGTCTGAGGCGGGTGGATAACCTGAGGTCAAGAGTTCAAGACCACCCTGACCAATTTGGTGAAACCCCATCTCTACTAGAAATACAAAAATTAGCCAGGCATGGTGGCAGACGCCTGTAATTCCAGCCACTCGGGAGGCTGAGGCAGAAGAATTGCTTGAACCTAGGAGGTGGAGGTTGCCCTGAGCCAAGACTGCACCAGTGCACTCCAGCCTAGGAGAAAGAGCGAGACTCCATCTCAAAAAAAACAAACAAAAAAAAACAAAAATAAAATTAAAAAGGCATTGTTGTGAGTATTCGATTTATATTAGTTACGTGTTTTATCTAAGTGGGTGCAGAAGAGGCTGAGCTACTTGAAACGGTGGCATTTTAGGAAGTGACCAGGGTGCTGTGCTCCTTGCTCTACTGCACTTGCCCAGATTTTCTGCAGAACATTCGGGAAACTTGAACTCATACTGGCTTCCAGCAAGGACCCTGGTATGGGGGCTCAGGAGGAAAAAATCCTGAGTCACAGGACTAACTGTCCCCAGCTCTCATGGGAGAATTCCACTGATCAGCACCAGAACATGAATCTTTTATCTTCAGGAGACAGGCTGGGGGTTGGTGATTATGATAATTTGGTGTTTTATCTTTGCACAGCATTGTCAAGAGCTAGAAGGGCCCAAAACCCTCTTGAAAAGTCCAGCCGGCCCCTCAGAGTATTCTCTTCCCCACTGTTGAAAAGCAGGCATGCCAGGCGCGGTGGCTCACGCCTGTAATCCTAGCACTTTGTGAGGCTGAGGCAGGCAGATCACGAGGTCAGGAGATCAAGACCATCCTGGCCAACATGATGAAACCCCGTCTCTATTAAAAACACAAAAATAAGCTGGGCGTGGTGGCACACGCTTGTAATCCCAGCTACTTAGGAGGCTGAAGCAGGAGAACTGCTTGAACCCAGGAGGTGGAGGTTGCAGTGGGCCAAGATCATGCCACTGTACTCCAGCCTGGCGACAGTGAGACTGTCTCAAAAAAAAAAAAAAAAAAAAGAAAGAAAGAAAAGAAAAGAAAAGAAAAGCAGGTACACCTCTGATGAAATCTTGCTGCCTGGGGTGCACTCCCAGTTCACGGAGCACCAGAAGGGCTGGAGAGGTAACCTGAGCTTCCACTAGACAGAGTGCACAGGGTAAGGCTCCTGACTGCTGACCCCTCTCTCCCAGCAAGTGCAGGAAAGGGACAGAGGCGGGAGGGAGGATGTGCGCTAGTGTGTGGCCGTCACCTTAAATCCCCATAATTTGCAAGGTGAGGAAACCTAGCCAGGAAGACGGGGTGGTATCCCCATAGTTCAAGGGCCTCCACATCTCGTGGAAGTTAGCCTAAGCAGCACGGAATTCACTGTTCATTGATCTTTCTCCTCCACCAGACAGAAACCTCCCTGAGGGAAGGGGCAGGGTCTGATCCACTCTATCCCTCACCAGGTGCCTGACACACAGCAGGTGCTCAAGTCGTATCTATGACAGCACGTCACTGCAAACGAAACGAAATGCGGTCAGTGAAACACCTCAGTGATGCACAGCCGTGCAGGTCAGGGTTTTCCTGAATCAGGGAGGGGCTGAGCAACAGAAAGATGAGGCCCATAGACAGAGAGCAGCAGAGGAGAACGAGGGGACTCCAAAGACCTCCCACCAGTACAACAGCTCCCCGCTTCTCCCTCTGCTGCCTCGTAGTGCCCTGGCACTGTTCCACAGAGCAGAAGGAACACAGGACCATGCTGAAGAGGAGAAGAGCCTGGGACGGAGGCACTGGGACCCCGCCAGCACCTCCTAAAGAGTCACTCTGTAAACAGGAGTCTGGAGACACAGCGTAGTCCCTCCTGGAAACCACGGCCTCCCCGGTAGAAAGCAGGTTGCTGGGCTCCGCAGCCTCCGATAGATTCTCCTGGGCCATCTGGGCTTTTCCCCACAGACCTCCTCTCCCCGGGGCCTCTGCCTTGGTCCCTGGGCCTCAAGACCTGCCCCTACAAGGGTGAGTCTCTCTGCCATCACAAACCCACCACACATTCACCTTATTGTAACTTACATAGTGCAAAGACTAGAAATCCTTGAAATAAAGACCAACATCTCCACAACCCAGTTTACTGGTCTGGCCCGGTTGACAGCTAAAGTTTAGGCAGGGTTGAAGGTTTGGGCATGCCAGGGCCTCTCTCTCTTTCCCAGCATGACACAGGAAGGAAGCTCAAAGGTGAGGCTGTCCCAGGAAGCAGGCAATGAGGCAGGCTTCTGAGCTATGTGTCTGGGGCACTGAGGGTTTGCTGAAAGCCGTAAACCATGGGGGAGGTATTCAATCCTGTGGGGACGGGCCTCCGAAGTATGTCATACGGAAAACCAGGGCCAGCTGATCTCCCTGTCTCCATCTTCTTCAGCAGCAGCATCAAGAGCACCGCCACATGTCCCAGAGCCATGGCATATGGTTGAGAAGAAAACAATCTCCCTTCATCGCCCACCTGAGTCCAACTCCGCCTACTGAGGGAGCTTGCAGAAGGCCACCTCACTAGACCTCAGTTCTCTCGTATGTGCACGAAGCCGCTGGCAGAGCCAGCGGGGCCCGGCATGTACGAAGCCTGGCACAGGGCTCAATCTAACATATCGCCTCATCTACAGCAACTGTATCTGAAGAAGAAAAACAAAACACCTCACGTGCAGGAAGGACCGAGAAGGAAAGGCAAGGGAAACTCTGAGGTCTGACCAAAGTAACCTTCGAATCTGAAAGCCCACAGTCGTCATCCATCATTCAAGAGTGGTTTCTGAGTCCACATAGACGTTACAGAAACTCATCCGGCAAGACGTCCCCAAAGGTGGGCAAGGAGAGCCACAGAGGGACACTGAGAGGTCAAACAATGCCCAATCACCTGAGGCATCAAGAAATCAACATAATCAATGGTAATCTTTTTTGCCCCCTATAAAAAACAGTAATTCACACTTGCACAGAAACAGAAGATCAAGGCAATCTTCTCTGGAAGGCATGTCAGCAAAATGAATCAAGAGCCTTAAAAATGCCCCTGCCCTCCAGCCTGTCTATTCCACTCCTGTAAACTATCCTAGCAAATCATCTCAAAGGCAGACAAGGAGTTAGGCACTTACACAGTCACTGTTCATCACAACAGCAAATAAAACAGCCCCTTGACCCACCAGCCTAGATGTAGTTACATCACTAAAGACATCCTGACACACTTACCACACAATGCGGCACTGTAAACCATTAACATGCATGGAATGAACAATTTTAATGCTGTGGGAAGATGATGGTAACTACTCCAAGTGAAAACAGCAAACGAATATAGTTTTACATAATTATATGTTCATCGTGCAGTGGGCTATATAAAAAATGCTAAGAACATAAACATACACAAAAACATCAACAGTAACTCTCCCTGGGCATTGGGGCTATGAGAGATTTTTACTGCATACTTTACACTATTGTGCATTTTCTGAATGAAAAAAAATCAACATGAATTACTTTAATCATCAGACAGAAATTCTCAGTGTTGGAGTTGTAAACCACACATTAGTGCCCGTCCCTTCACTCAGGCACCATAGGGGACCAAAATAGTTAAAACACACAGAAGAGTCCCGGGGCTGCTCTTTTTGAACTTGTGTCCAGAAAGTGCTTTGAGCGTCTCACCTGGAGGACTCAGACCCTGGCTGGAAGGACTAGGAGGACAGCTTCCAGGACGGCCTTGAGTACTTACCCATAATTCCACAAGAGAAAAGTGTAGGTCCTTGACTCATCTTCTTTGGCGTGTGCTGAAAACAACCAGAAAAGCTATTCACTCTTCAAATCATAGGAAGCATGTTTTGCACTGACTCTCTACTGATCCCTTCTAAAGTCACAATAAAAGGGTGACTGTCCTTTGCCAATGTCAGATCAGGGAAAGGAGGAAAAGGTATTCAAAGAGAAAACATCTGCACAGAATTAGGCCCAGACTTTTTGTCCCAAGTCTCTAGTGAGTTATGGAGTCCATTGAGTTAATGGGCTTTGAAAATACACAGAAAGCCCCATCACTTCTGACATGAGGGGATTTTTCCACATAAGAGATGTGGAGGCGGCCCAGGGGCAGAATGGATGCTAAACAGTGGAACAAGCTTCCTTGAGCTGGGCTGAGAAGACACCAAAAGAGGAGGGGACCTCCCTGGGGACACAAAGAACCTCAAGTAGGGAGCAGAGGGCCCCAGGTCCGACTCCGAGACCCCTCCCTTCCAGATCCAGGGAGAACAGCTCTCCCGCTCTGGTGAGAAGCATGGGGAGAGCTCAGAAGGGCTGGCCTCTGCTCTGCAGACTGTTTTGTGGCTACACTGAGGCCCCCTGAGGCATTTTCTCTGAACTGAAACAGAAACTCAAGGGTTATACTTGGTCTCAACATAACAGCGATGGCTTTTGAACTCCTTGGCACTGTATTTCCACAATAGTTTCCTTTCCACTGTAAACATTCTACATCTTTCCTGATGCCCCCCGCCTACCCTCAACTGAACGCTATGGCCACTGGGCAGAAAATAGGCCAACGAGGCCTAGAAGAACCCCAAATCCAGGGTACTTGCTCCACGGCTACGCAGTAAGCTGGGTGTAGAATATTCTGGGGGTTCCTCATGCTAGGTGATACCCAGGTCAAGAGGCTTGCCTGGTCCTCTCATGAGCAGAGACTACCCAGCCAGAGCCCCAGGAAGCAGCTCTGCCTCAAGTGCTCCGAGGCTCCCTCACTCACTCGCCCACTCGCTCAGTGGGCACGGGGTGGTGATTCTTTCTGGGCGGGCTGTGCTAGGGGTTGATCGTACAATGGTGAAAGGAGCTCTCAGGCCCAGAGAAATGAGCTTGTCACAGAAGGCTCTAACTTCTGAAAGGAACCCCCAACACTCCCCATCAAAATGACACAAACAGACAAGGCTTCCAGGCCGGTAAGTGGACGAGGGCCCAGGTTCTGGCTCTTGAAGGCCTGGCAGGACGGTGGGGCTGACTGGGAACACCTGGCCCATCCAGGTAAGAGGGTGGCAAGCACCTGGCACCAGCTCCCTCACCTCATCCCCATCTACCCAATCCAGGGACCTCTGCACGAGGTCAACACTGTGTTCATCCCACAGGGTTACTAAGGGTCCATCCTGACCAGCCTGGGGACACAGAGGTGAAGGAGGACTCACACTTCATGGAAGACAGTCACAGACAAACCACGGGGAGATCGGGGCTGGAGGGGATGTCCAGGGCAAGTGTGCTGGGATGGGGGTGGACACCGGGGCGGCCTCCTGGGAGGGATGCCTAGACTGGTATTGAGGACCACAGGAGCTTCTAGGGCTGAAGGGGAACGGGGCAGTCCTCCTACAGGTCGCCCTCCTCAGTTTAAAATGATCCTAACAGTATCATCACACTCGGTCACCCTCCTGGATTCCACAGTGATGTAACCATCCTCTCTACCACCATCTGTGGAAATATCTGGGAAGAATTCAAAACGGCTGCACCTGCTTCCTCCCATCCCCCGCCACACAATCCCACCTGAGAGGTGCAGCTGAGACCACACCAAAGTCATGCAATGGAAAGTGGATGACAAGCGCATGAGAGCCCTGCTGCTGGGGCTGCGCTGCCTGCACAGCCGAGAGCTCAGCCTGTGGATGCCAGGCAGGCCCCCAGTTCCCAGGTTCAGAGAGGGAAGTCGGGCCAGGGTCTGGCTTGCCAAGGGAGGTGGCTCCCAGCACTAAGGGAACACCTGGGCATAAGGAAAACACCCCCTGGGGAAACCCGGCCCCCAGTCCATGCCTGCCAGGTGGGAGAAGGCAACCCAGGTTGGGAGGCCACAGAGGCCACACCAGGATGGGGGCTGGGGAGAGCAGAGAGAGCAGGAACACTGGAGCACCCTGTGTGCTTCACTGGCACGCATGCAGGAGGGGCTGGGGCTTTCCACACTGAAGCAGGAAGCCACATAGCGAGCCGCCCCCTGCCTGGCCAGCAGAACAGTGCTTGCTGGCCGCCTCTCACCAAGCCGGCATGTTCTAGACCAAGGGGGACCTCAGGGCCCTTCTGACCCAGGCCATCACAAGGAACACTGCCAGAGATGCCGGGGTCTGTCTGCCCACAGAAACAGCACTGGGCCAGCACACACGCACCCCAGGCACTCGTTCACACATTCACTCGACTTGCTCATTCATTCATTCAGTGAGGACTTATCAGCATCTGCAGCAGGTCCCCAGAGTGGCCTGCCATTTCCAACCTGGAAAACAGACTCCTCGCCACCCCACCATTGGCCCTGATCCCAGCCACTGCCAGCCCCAGTGAACGCCCCTCCTAACCGCTCTTACAGCCTGTACCCTGGGCCCCCACTTCCCACCCTCCACCCAGAACCCAGAGCCATCTTCTTAAAGCAGAGATCGGACCACGTCATCCTGTTGCAACAACTTCCCACCACAACCAGAATCAAATCCCGGCCACTACCTCTCCTCCACAGTGCACAGTGCTCCACATGAGCCAACCTGAGTACCCCCAATCTTGCTCTGGTCCTCCCCTCCTCACTCACACTACCCAGTGGCGCCAGGCCAGTCACTACCATCTCAGGGGCTTTGTGCCGGGATCTTCACACAGCACGCTCTGCGCTGTTCCTGCCCCGTGGCCTCCTCAGTGGCCTTGCTGGACCATCCTGGCTAAAGCAGTGCCTCCCACCCACTTTTCTCTCTCCCATCACCTCATTTAATGAACATGGCAGGTATTGGAACATCTGTTCCTGTACTGACTCTCTGCTCCATGGGAACGGAAGCTTCTTGAGAAAGGAGGGCTGTCTTGGTTTCAACTTCACAGCCAACAGCAGGCACCACAGCTACAGGCACCTGTCAGCGCCAGCCTGTCCCACTCCTGAGGCTACACACCCAGTGGATGTCAGGCAACAGAAATGGATTTTCACTGGGCAGAAGTTACTGTCTCCCAAAATCGCTGGCCTCACGCAAAGTCAAACCTCAGTGGGGAAGGGCTGAGAGGCCAGCCTGAGAGTCAGAGCCACCTCGCAGGCTGGCCTGGCCTCCTCATGCCGGTCTCCAGCCCTCTACCTAAGGGTTCCCACGAACCAGCAATGGTGCACACTATGATTTTCCAACTCGAAGGAACGACTTCTCCATTTCCCCATCCCAGGCAAGCCACTGCTTGCTCCTCACTGAAGAGATGAAACTGCGCAGCCCAGTGGTGCGGCCCCCTTCTTCTGTCAGCTGCACCCCAAATTTTGAATTGGGATACCTTCACCCTCACTGGATCACGTCTTAGTGGGACTGTCAAACAAGGTGCCTCCACCTCCCCGGCCCCGGGCTAGGCCCAGATCTCAGGCCTAGACACTGGTTCCATGGCTGACTCCTGAACCACAGAGCTGGGCCTGATCCACCCAGCAGGGAGGCCCTCAGTCTGCCCGTGGGCACCTGCTTCTGAAGTCCTCCCAGCTGCTCCAGTCATGCCCTTTCTGGGGCCCGACTGGCCCCCTCCTCTCCAGCCCTGAGAGCTCTCCCCGTGCTCCAGGGAGTTCTCTCTTGGGGTGAGTTAGCTGGGGACGGCCTCTGGCGCTGACAAAGGAGGAACCCTGACTAATTTCGTGCTTTACCTTGAGACCAGATCAGGGCCCATCTTGCTTTCTGAGCCCCATCTGTGAAGCTAAGCCAGTGGCGGCCAGGCCAGAACGTCATGTACTGACAGCTTTCCAGGGTGCCAGGCCCCAGTACACCCTGACCGCTGGCAGGTTTCCCTGGTCCAACTCCACATGGGCAAACCAGCAGAGTTCCTGCTTGGCTCTAGGTTGGCCAGGGCCTTTTATTCCCCAGGCTACCCGGTATATGCTAACATTCCCATGGTATGTACCATTCCTACACACACAGCCTTTCCAACACTTTGAACCTCCTGCACCCACAGTGGGAAGAATGAGCCAATCATGGTGTGGAGGCCCCACCAGGCCCTGAGGGAACCCCTCGGCCCTCTGAGGTTTCACAAGACACTCAGTGTCTGCACTCAGCGAGCATCCGAGCCCTGCAGTGCTGAGGTCTGCAGTGAAATAAGACCAGAGCACATTTCCCCTTTGTGTTTCTCCCACTGTGAAGCCTCTGTTCCCAAGCCCACCCTGGGGCAGGGCCTCATCTCTGTGAGACTCCTCAGATCACGAGAAAAGGTTTTTGGAATTAGATCCTCGTAGGAAAGGCAAAAGCTGGAAATCAAATGGAGGCTTCAGGGCCATCTGTCTGACTAAAGAAAGCAGCCCTGGCTTAAATAAAGACACAATTAAGGCTCCAAATGAGGAACTGGCCCTGCAGAAAATGCCAGGCCACAACCACGGTTCTTCATAACTTTCCTCTGTACATTATCGACTAAAGCAACTAAGTCACATCTTCCATCTCCTGACACGGTGTTACAGGGAGCCACAGAGCACCTGGGGGAGGCTCACACTCATGCCCTACGGGGGAACGAGTGGAGCACCCACACTCCCAAAATGTAACCCCGCGAGACTGTGGCAGTCGAAAGCAAAAAGGAGATCCAGGCCTGAGACAAGAAAGAGAAGCTGAGGAGGGAACAATGCCTTTGGATGAAGATTCTCAAGATGCTGATAGAGATACGGTGGCCCTGACTCCTGAGGCTCCGGGGTTAGCCAAAGCATGGGCGGGCCCCTTGGTATCTCTGCCTGCCCAGGGTGAAAGGCATCACGCTGCCCTGGACCCTATGCACTCCTGCGTTCTAACTTCAGGCCAGCCTGGGGCCAGCCAGAGATCCTGGCTGGGGCTACTGAGCTCAAAGTGCCAACTTAGCATGGCCCAAAGTATGAAGAACCCCAGTGCCCAGGCAACTGTGTATAAGGCCTGACATGGCCACTAACTCCTCAAATAAGAAAAGTCATTTAGCCTTTGGCATCCTAATCAGACAAGTGCAGAAGGAAGTGCCTGTCTATCTACCAGATCAGCCCCTCCAAAAGACTAGTATTGGTTGTTATAGGGAAAGTCAGGCAGTCTGGAGCCGCACACTGCCCTCTGCCCAGGAGCAGCCAGTCATCAGCTCCCTTTGGTCTTCAGCCTTAAGGGAGGATGGGCTGCAGAGAGAAGAGTGGGCCTGGCCAAGGGAGGTGGTCACTCTGGAAACAAGAGAACAGGCTCTTGGCCTGAGCGTGGGCGTGCGGGAAGGCGCTGAGGGAGCACAGTGCTCCAAGGTCAAATGTCTGGGCTGCCTTCCAGGGGAGCAGCTAATGTTAGAACACTGGAAGGAAGAGCCCACTCGACAGAGGAAGGCACCAGGCAGAGTCGGGGAAAGGGGAACTGGACCCAGCCATGGCTGCTGGCCGTGCAAGCGAAGTCAGGGCCATGGGCACAGCTGAGCCTCAGGGCCATCTCTCCCCAGGCAGGTGGGCCCTGTGCTGGGAAAGGCAAAATGCTGAGCACTGGTCAGTCCTTTTTTTTCCTTTTTTCCTTACACCTTTCTTTGAGGGAAAGGCAGTTGTTTCACCAGCATTTAGTTTTTTAAAACAGGGGAACCAGAGAACCATGGCATGAACCCCAAAGAAGGCTGGGAGGGAGACCAAGTCCTCACACCCCTCAACAGGCCTCAGAGTTGGCCACGAGCTCCTCCTCCAGTGCCACATGACACCCAGGGTTGCGAGGACCCTGGTGACTTTCCCTTGCACGTTGAGACTTTCCCGCCTCTGTGACTGAGGCCTGACTCTGGGGACCCAGGGTAAGCTGTGCTTCTGGGGTCTGCTCCCATAATTCCAAAGTGGCCTGTGCTGATACCAGTCCCGGCCTCCCCCACAGTCATGCTTTCCTTTTAAATCTTAAACCTCTACTTGTCATCTTCTTAGTCTGATTAGAAAACAAAAGAAAATTTATTTTCCATCGTTCCTGTTGTTATCTTGATGGTATTTACACGGGGATGATGTTACCAGTTTAGGAAGCTAAAGCAAAACCCCGTCAACTTCCTCTGAACCTCTGCTGGCTGTTCAGAGCAAATGCTAGCATCAGCGTATCTCACATTCTGTCCTGTGGATGTCATCACTAGACTAAGATTATTTTCGGTATTTCTTCAGTTATTTACATCGTGTGTCTCTCCCCAAAGCCTGGAGGGGCTCCAAGGTGATCACAGCCTCTGGAATAGGGCCCATGCGAGAAGGTGCTGGGGGAAGCAGACAAGGGCCTGGGCTTGAAATCTGTGCCTGGGGCAGCCCCTCCCTGGGCTCTCTGAGCCACAGCTTCCTGTCTGTAAATGGGGTAGAAATGGGTGCACCCCTGCCCCTCAGCAGGTAGCGTGAGGCTCAAGGACAGGGAGGAGGTACATGGACCTCTGGGCATACAGTTTGGGTGTCTGTCCCCTCCAAATCTCATGCTGAAATGTAACCCCCAATGCTGGAGGCAGGGCCTGGGCGGGGGTGTTTGGGTCATGGGAGTGGATCCCTCGTGAATGGCTTGGTGGCCTCCCCATGGTAATCAGGGAGTCCTCGCTCTTCTAGTTCATGTGAGGGCTGGTAGTTTAACAGGTCTGGCACCTCCTCCCTTCCCTCTCACTCCCTCTCTCACCTCGTGATACACCTATTCTCCCCTCACCTTCTGCCGAGACTGGAAGCTTCCCTAGGCCTCACTAGAAACAGATGCAGATGCAATACTTTTCCATGCTTCTTTTTTTTCTTTTTTGAGACTGAGTCTCGCTCTTTCACCCAGGCTGGAGTGCAGTGGCGCAATCTCGGCTCACTGCAAGCTCCACCTTCCGGGTTCACACCATTCTCCTGCCTCAGGCTCCTGAGTAGGTGGGACTACTACTCAGGCACCCGCCACCACACTCGGCTAATTTTTTGTATTTTCAGTAGAGATGGGGTTTCACCGTGTTAGCCAGGACGGTCTCAATCTCCTGACCTCATGATACGCCTGCCTCAGCCTCCCAAAGTGCTGGGATTACAGGCTTGAGCCACCGCGCCTGGCCGGTGCCATACTTCTTATACAGCCTGCAGAACCATGAGCCAAGTAAACCTCTTTTCTTTATAAATTACCCAACCTCAGGTATTCCTTACAGCAACATGATATGAACTAACACACTTCCCAAGACCCTCAGCATAGCCGCACCCCCAACATCTTCCTGCTGGCCCACGCTATAGGGCAGGCAGCACTGAGCTGGGCCGGGCCAAGCACTGGCACCCAGTCACTGTGTTCTGGGCGCATCAGCAAACTGAGCAATGAGAAAGCCCTTCTTCAACAGGGCTGTTCCCCACAACAGAGCTCTCATCTGGAGCCAAGGGGAAAGAAGAGGAGGAGGAAGACAGATGGGCCCAACACTGGGTGGTTCTGGGCCTTGACAGGTCAGTAACAAAGAGCAGCAGAAAGAAGGATCCTTTCCAACAAAGCAAGGGAGAGTTCAGGAAGAAAGCACAGATTCTAATCTGTGAGGCCACAAGAGAACACGTGGTAGAATCCCTTCCAGCAAAGCTGCCTGCTCTCCCTGCCTGCTTTCCCTTTCTGAGTTTTCCTTCCCTGGCTAGGGCTGGGAGGCCATGCTCCTCCTGGCAGGGGCTCAGGCCACACCTCTTGGAAGAGCAGCTCAGCTGACGTTGGGCCCACATGTCCTGGAAACAACTCTGAAGCCAACACCAGGCAGTCCCACCCTGAGAAGGGACCAAGCACAGAGGCAGCCACTGCAGCCAACAGCACAGCTGGACCCGGGAAGGGCTCCTCCCTTGGGACCTCCAGATGGCTCCTCACCCTTGAGGTCTCTTCTTTTTGGTCAGAGCTACTCTAGTCACACCCACTCAGTCGTGAACTGGAGCAGCAGCCAGAGAGAGAGTAAGACAATGGTGAATGAGAAGAGGCCAGGCGACAGGAACCTGCAAGCTCATCCATCCACAAACATCCACTGAGCACCTGCTAGGCGCTGGGCCCCGTGCATTCAGCAACAAGCAAGAGAGATATCCCCTCCCTTCACAAAGCTCCCATTCTAGTATAAGGACTCGGTCAAGATCCATAAGGACATGTTTAAAAGTGCCAAGTACCTAAGAGGGAAAAAGATAGGAAAAGAGGAGAGAAAGTGTGGTGGGGGTAAGGGGTGGGAGCTGGTGCTGGGACTGAACTGTAGGTTGAGTGGCCAGAGAAGCAAGGAGAGAGGGAGAATGTCCTACTGTGGGGAGAGAGCTCCAGGCCAAGGAAAAAGTGCAAAGGCCTGAGGCAGGCTCACACTTAGCGTGTTGGAACAGGGAGGCCAGTGGGGACCGAGCAGAGGGGGCAGAGTGGCAGAGATGAGGTCAGAGCAGTCACATGGACAAGAATACATGGGGCCACATACATCCTAGTAAGGGCTGGGTGTTTGCTAAGCATTCAGTGTAAAGCCAGTGGAAGCTTCTACACAGTGGAGGACAGCTCTGACTAGGATTCTCTCTGGCGGCTGGGTGGAGAACAGGTTAAAAAGAGCCAGAGGCAGGGGACCAGTTACCACAAGAATCCATGTGAGAGAAGAGCAAGTGGAACCAGAGTGGTGGCAGTGAGGCTGGTAAGAAGTAATCACATTACATAGCAAATGTGAACTGGAAAGAACGGGGTAGTGGCAGAAGAGCTGAATGGTCACAGCAGCTCTACTCCTTGCTGCAGTGACCAAGGCTGCCATTGAGCAAACACACCTCAGGTGCCTGCTGTCTGCCCTGCCCCAGTAGTGCTGGGGACATGGGGAGAAGCAAAGCTGAGTCCCTACCCTTGCAGCTGGGGGTGACACCCCATGGAGACCTCACAGGCTGAGGCCCACGAGCAGAGTAGCACCAGTGTCATGCCTGGTAAGGGCTGGAGAGACCTGACTGAGGGAGGGCTGCCAAGACTGGCGTCCAGACACCAGGCAGTGGGCAGAGGCCTGAACGCAGGCTCAGGAAGTGGGGCTGGAAGGGTTGGAGGGAAAGGGGAGGTGCAGCTAGTGAGGCAGTTACTGCCTGCTCCAGGCTGCAGCTGCCTCATTTGTAAAACGAGGAGGCTAGACCCAGTGGTTTCTAAGCCACTTCTTCTCACCCTTCAAGGCTAAATCAAGTATCCCTGCTCTGCAAGGCTTTCCCTGGTGTGCTACAGCCAGGCTGGCCCTGCTCCTCTACACGCCCTGGGCTTCCCGTGGGCTTCGGCTGCAAGTTCTTGTTCATGGGATCCTCAAGTTGTCACTGTATTCACAGCTCTCCAGACACCCTCTCTCTAGACCCAGAGCTTCTCAAGGGTGAGAAGTACAGGGCCTGGCTCTGGCTCATCCTGTTCCCCAAACTCCTCCAGCCTAGTGCCCAACACACGGAAGGCGCTCTGTGAGGCCTGCGAAAAGAATACAGATCTCGGTGGCTTTCCCAAGCTCCTGACACAGGCAGAGACCTAGGTCTCATCTGCTCAAGGTCTGGTTTCACTGGCATGAGATAGGGGAAGGCGGCCCACCAAGGAGGCTTAGCGTGGGTCCTCGCGAGGGGCTGTGAAGGGCGCCAGGAGGGGTCCTGGGTGAGGCGACCCTGGGCAGTTGGGCCTTCCTGACCACGGAAGCTGCAGAGAGTTCTGAAGACTCGCCCATCTCCACAAGACTGCTTCTGACTGAGCGTGGCTTCCCGCTCCCTCCACAGGCGAGCAGCCCCCACTCACATCTGAGAACTGGGCTTCCAAGGACAGGTCTGCTGACAGGGTTCAGCTATTGAAGGTTGGTTTGCTTGCAGTCTAAGAAGGCCGAGTTAGCTACCTCCCTGCACTAGTCCACCACATGGTCCAGGGTGGTCCCGGGTGAACCCCCTTTGGCAGAGGGTAGCTGTTGCCATAGCTCACCACACCGTCTTTCCCCATCGTCTCCCACTCTTGACGTTCCTGAAGCAGCACCACCCTTCAGAGGGATAGGCTTATCTTAGCCCCCATTCAGGGCACCACCCCTCTCTGGAAACCACCTCCCCTTAACGGGTGGAGACAGAAGGAATGTCAGTCCTGGCCTGGCAGGCTGCAGAACCACACTTGCTGTTATTTACCAGGGGATAACCTCCCCTCCTCATTCACCAGATGACCTCAAATCTGAGCTGACTTCCTTCTTTCCAGCGAGTTGTCAGTCAAGCTCTGCTCCTGTGCCCTGTCGCCCCAGCCCAGGACGCCTCACAGAGCTTTGCTCTTGGGGGCTCTGGACTCAATTTGCTAAGCCTGGGTGCTCAGTCCACAGCCCTATCTGTACATCAGGCCTCAGAAATGCTCAGGGAAAGCAGGAAGCCTGCCAGGTCCTCACCAGTTCAGGGCTGAAGGTCCCGCATGCGATGGAGTCAGCTCCCCGGGTGCTGAGGCTTTCACTTAGGACCATCACCATGATAAGGGCCTCAGGCGCTGGGCTCCATCCCAGGGTGGGTATCAGCCATCTTCACTTGGGCAGACTTGGGCTGGGTACCTCCTGGGGAATTGATGTCAGCAGAAACAGCTCCTCATTGGCCGCTCACCCTTGGGGTGGGGCCGTTCTGGGAAATGGCCAAGTGTGGTCAACTCCCTGGAAAGACAAAAGAAAAGCAAAAGGATTCAGGACTAAGAAAGACCAAGGCCCTGAGAGTCACCCCTCCCACAGTACTGGAAACCCCAGGGGATTGGAACCACCTCTCTGCTAAAGGAGATGTACTCAGGGAGAGTCACCAAGGCCCAGAGTTACCTTCTCAGAGCTCCCCACACCCCTGCCATGCCAGCCTTGGGCTGCCTCACTTGTAAAATGGCCTGGTGGGTAGAACAACAGATTGGGGTCCAGCCACGTGATACCTTTAAGATCTATCTCAGGGTCTGGGTGGCTAACAATCTGCTGTCCCTGCAGCATACTCAAGTCACGTGACATCTTACCACTGAGCTGGCTTTACAGGCAGCTTTAGCACACACCAGGATGCATTAAAGTAGGCCAAGGGTCAGAACATGCCTCATCCCCACATCCAACACCAAACGGGTCAGCCCTCAGGCAGCCAACTGGCAGCAGGGGACCAGCAGTCAGCATGCTGGCTCCCTTCTCCACCCAGTTATGAACAGAAGCTACTGGAACAATAAGGAGGGTCCATTTAAAAAGGCATATATTTGGCCAGGCATGGTGACTCATGCCTGTAATCCCAGCACTTTGGGAGGTTGAGGCAGGTGGATCATCAGAGGTCAGGAGGTCGAGACCAGCCTGGTCAACATGGTGAAACCCCATCTCTACTAAAAATACAAAAAATTAGCTGGGTGTAGTGGCATGCACTGTAATTGCAGCTACTTGGGAGGCTGAGGCAGGAGAATCGCTTGAACCTGGGAGGCAGAGGTTGCAGTGAGCCAAGATCGCACCACTGCGCTCCAGGTTGGGCAACAAGAGTGAAACTCCGTCCCCCCACCAAAAAAAAGGCATACATTTCTGGTCCTTGGAAGTGCCACATTTCAACATCAACATCTTTGCAACACTGGGGGCCTTCACAGCTTTGTCATCTTCCCCAGAAAGAACTAAACTAAGTGAGCTTCCAGTAGTGATGGGACTCACTCAGCATTGCCATTCTGCACAGCCTATCCGCAGCCCCTCTCCGATTAACCCACCACCATTTCCCACCAAGCAAATGAAGAAAGAGTGCAGCCTTCAGTTCAGGTTTGAAAAATCCCTTCTTACAAACTCACGTCTCTATTTCCCCATGCAGCTAAACCTTCAAAGAAAGTCACACAGACACAAGGAACCTGAGGATCACCACCAAAAAGTAAAAAAGAATGATGATAATAGTATTAAATAGAAAAGCAGCTCCTAATCTGTAATCAGAAACAAACTGCTCAACACAGGAAAACGTTTTAGAATCTGCTGCTCTGTGTAAAAATTAATTGCACCCTGGTATTTACTTGCTGTCCAGATTGTAAATCATATTTTCCTGTTTACTTCAATTAGACTTTACAGTGGGTGTTATTGAAATTGCTCAATTACAGGCCAGCTGGCAAGCACAGGAAAATTACCTTCTACTGTTCTTCGAAAACAAGGTTCATCCAAAGTGCAAAAGCAGAGAAGGGGAGGAGGGAAATCAATACATGTTCCAAAGCTTGACTGTTCAGGAAGAGAGCCCAGGGGAGGCTGAAGATTCCCAGGTCTCATTGAGAGATCTGGTGCACAGGTTCAACACCACATCAATCTAGAAGTGACACGTTCTGACCAACTGTGGTCTGTTCAAGGAAAGAGTTTCAGACCACTCCTGCAAGTTCTGGCCAGGCAGCTGGGTTCAGGAACAGGCCAGAGAGGTGCTCCTGGATTTGCCTTTCAAAGCAGCCTTTTGTGTCTCCTCAGTGGAGGAGGCCTAATGGCAGCCATCATCTCTCTGTGTGTGAGCCCCAATTCAGCTCTCAGGCAGCCAGCCTTAGGCACAAGGCCTGGGAGGTGAGCTGCCCGTTCCCTCCTCCCCCATTTCCATCCTCTCTAGGAAGCCAGGTGAGTTCAGTAGCTACAGAGGCTCAGATCCTGAGTCAAGCACAACTGAGTTGGAATCCCAGCTCTTGAAATACATTGTTTGAGTGGCCTTTGCCAAGTTACTCTTAGAGCCTCAGTTTCTCTCTCTGTACAACAGGGAAAACAGTGCTTGCCTCACAAGGTTACTGTATCTGATGAAAACAGAGCCCAAGTCCTTTGCACGCTGCCTCGCTCATCCAGGTGAGTGCTCAATCAACAGCGGCTACTGCTAGCAGTTTCATGGGGGAGGCTGGGAATCCAGATCCTCTTCTCGGCAATGGACGCCCAAGCGGCCATCCTCTCAAACGTGTTTAAAGAGAAACGAGCTAAATTCTGTCAATAAGGGCCTGGCTATATGATGGCCCATCCCTCTGGTGAAGTAGGAGGAGGCCGGTAAGAATGAAACTGTGGAAGTCTGTCACCATGGGAACACATCAGCCCATCCAGACACAGCTCTGCACAAAGCAGGAAGCCAGAACGAGGCAAAGATGGGGTGGCCCAGCTCTCTCCAGCTCCATCCCCAGCAGAGTCCCGACAAGGGGCCAGGGCTCGGAGAGGCAGCAGAAGCACCAAAAGCGCGTGGGCAACTGGGTGGTCAGCACATGTGACAGGCATGGAAAGGAGAAGGCAGGTGTAGCACAGTCCCTGCCCTGGGGGGTCTCACAGAGAGTGCAGTGACCCAGCCAACACATTTCAGAGGCAGGCAGAAAGGGGGACGTGACGTCAGAGGTAGGCTTTAAAGAGACTCCTTTGCACTGTAAGAGCCCAAGAGTGGGGACAACCTCGATGCCTGCAAACAAGGCGAACTGGTTAAAAAAATTACGGTGTTGTTACATAAGGGAATACCATGTGGCCTTCAAAAATACTATAATAAGCCAGTTCAAACTGTACAGATATGAAACAATCTCCAAGAAATGCTATAAAGTGACAAAGGCAAGAAGAGCCGAGTCCACTAGCCTGAGCGACAGAGTGAGTCTCCGCCTCAAAAACAAACAAACAAGGAGTCCAGCATGGTCCCACACAGTGGTTGCCTGGAGAAGGGAATGATGGTTCTGGAGAGGAACCATGTCCAACCCTATGTGAGGTTTGAATATTCCATCCCACGTCCGCCCATGGTGCTTTTAGTTCTTAAGAAACAGGCAAGATTTCATCAGGAAGGGCAGGGTACCCAGGCAGAGGGAAGGGTGTAAGCAAGGCGTGTCCGCCGGGCCAGCCTCGGAGTATGGGAATGGTGAGAACGCTGGTGGCTGGCACACAGGGCACGCAGAGGGCATAGCAGCAGGAGGGCAGCTAGAGAGAGACTCAAACCAGACCCAGGGCTCCGAATGTCACACTCAGGGGAGACCTTATCATTGCGGCTGTGGGGGCTCCCGAAGGAAATTAGAAGCTGGAGTTGGCTGCTTTGATCTGTTAGGAGAGCAATTTTTTCTGAACCCTTTGCAACACCTACCACAATCCCTCACATACCCTAACAGCTCAAAACACATTTCCGGAATCGAGCTAAATTGTAGCAACATCTGAAATGATCTGGGCAGGTTCTCAGAATTTGTGAGGCGAATCCAGACCAGCAGAGCCCAGCACGATCTAGAATTTCCTGGGATTCCTATGACCCGTGGGCCTGGCCTGGCCAACTTCACTGGGGAATGCCAGGACCAGGCCGGAGACTTCGAGCCCAGTCTGCAAACACGGTCAGGGTCTTCTCAAAGAGAAGCCGGGGGCACGGCCAGGAAAAAGACAATAACTGGGTGATCCCACAGAGGGCAAGGTGGAAGCCTCACAAAGCCCTCCCACAGGCCACCTCTGGGGCACAGACCCTGCCATGGTCTAGTGGGTTTTCTCTTAACCTGTATCAAGAATCACTTCTATCTATTGAGTACCTACTAGCTACCAGGCACTTTACACACATTAGCCACAAGCCAGGTTGAATTATCCCCATTTTACAGCCATATACAGCAACTCACTCAGGGTCCGGGTTCAAAGCTGGGATGTGAACCCTGGTGAGCCAGCACCCAGGTCTGTACTTCCCACCAGTGCCTTGCCCCTCCATCCCCTAAAAAACCCCTTCAAATGCCCATTCAAACAACTACCAGCAAGAGTTCTCCTTTGCATTTATTCCAGAGAGATTAAGATTTACGTTCACACACAAATGTTTGTAACAGCTCTTTATTCATAACAGCCCAAACCAGGAAATATTCTAGAGACCCTTCGCTCAATGAATAATTAAACAAAATGTGGCAGGGCACAGCCACACTGTGGAATACTACTCGGCAATAAAAAGGAATCAACCAGAGACACACGCCACAACCTGGATGAGCCTCCAGACTCTCATGCAGAGTGAAAGAGCCAGTCCCCAAAGGCTCACTATTCTAGGAGTCCATTTATATCCCTTTCTTAAAATGACAAAATTATAGAATTAGTGCAGAGATGAATGGCTGTCAGGGGTTGGGGATGGGGCGTGGGAGCAGGAGGGAAATGGGCATGGCTGGGAAAAGGCAGCAGGAGGGATCCTTGGAGATGGAGATACTCTGTGTCTCAACTGTATCTGTGACAATTTTCTGCTTGTGATACTGCATTAGTTTGGTAGGATGTTACCATTAGGGGACAGTGAGTAAGGGGTATGTGAGATTTCTCTGTATTATTTCCTGTAACTGCATGAGTGTACATGATCTCCAAAAAAAAAAAAAAAAATTTTTTTAAATAAATCCCAGCCGGGCGCGGTGGCTCACGCCTGTAATCCCAGCACTTTGGGAGGCCGAGGCGGGCGGATCACGAGGTCAGCAGATCGAGACCATCTTGGCTAACACGGTGAAACTCCGTCTCCACTAAAAATACAAAAAAATTAGCTGGACATGGTGGCGGGTGCCTGTAGTCCCAGCTACTTGGCAGGCTGAGGCAGGAGAATGGCGTGAACCCAGGAGGCGGAGCTTGCAGTGAGCCGAGATCGCGCCACTGCACTCCAGCCTGGGAGACAGAGCAAGACTCCGTCTCAAAAAAATTAAAAAATTTAAAAAAAATCCCAATCTATGCATTTATCAAAATTCATAGAACTAACCACCAAAAGACTGTGTTAGGCTACATATAAATTTTTAAAACTTTTTTTAAAGCCCACTGATTATACCAGGGAGACCATGTGCAAGGGGAGATGGGGGAACGTGTGTGTGCTGTGGAATTTGGCAGCCCTGGCCTTTGCCATAAAATCACTTGACTTCAGTTTCCTCATCTTTAAAACGGGGGTGAGGCTCGTCACAGTGGCTCACACCAGTGATCTCAGCATTTGAGAGGTTGAAGCAAAAGGACTGCTTGAGACCAGGAGTTCAAGACCAGCCTAGGCAACACGGCAAGACTCCATCTCTACAAAAAATAAAAACTCAAACAAAAATAGCCAGGCGTGGGAGTGTATGCCTGTAGTCCCAGCTACTCAGAAGTCTGAGGCAAAATCGCTTGAGCCCAGGAGTTTGAGGTTACAAATGAGCTATGATCATGCTACTGCACTCCAGCCTGGTGATAGAGGGAGATCTTGTATCAAAAGAAATAATTAAGCTGGGTGCAGTGGGTCATGCCTGTAATCCCAGCACTACGGGAGGCTGACGTTGGTGGATCACTCGAAGTCAGGAGTTCCAGACCAGCTTGGCCAACATGGTGAAACCCCAACTGTACTAAAAATATAAAATTAGCTGGGCATGGTGGTGCATGCCTGTAATCCCAGCTACTCAGGAGGCTGAAGCACAGGAAACACCTGAATCTGGGAGGCAGAGGCTGCAGTGAGCCAAGATTACACCACTGTACTCTAGCCTGGGCCACAGAGCAATACTCTGTCTCAAAAAATAATAGTAACTACTATTATTATTATTATTATTAATTAAATAAACACAGTGAGGATAATACCTTTGCCCTGGGGCTGCTGGGAGATTTAAATAAGAAAACACATATAAAAGAGCTCGGCACAGAGAAGGCCAGGCATTGGTGTCCATTCCCCTTTGCACAAGTAGCAATCGTGGGCCGCACTCTCATCGGGCACCATCCTTGCATCTCGACTGCAGTTTTCCTTGCCCTGTATTTAAGTCTTGTATTGTCACTTCCCAGTCCCCGCATTCACCTCCCACCTCTCTCCCGTGACTCCCTGGGCAGTGCTCATGATAGGGGGCCTCCAGCCTGCCTCCATACACAGCTAGGGCTACCCAGTATCTGCCAAAGGAGGGCTGGGTGAGGATCTCCCCTTGGTTGGCACCCCAACCTGATCACGGGGACACAGTGCTCTCTGACTCAACCCCAGGAGCCCCTACTCAATGACTCATCTTCACCAGGATTTCCACTGAAAAGAGCAAAAAGCAAGGTCAGACTTTCCATTGATCCATGTGTATGCTCCCTGGGTGCAGACAAGGTGGCAGAGGGCCCCTGCCCACCTCCCAAGTCCTCACCTCTAAAGTGCATCTGCCCAAGAACAGCCCCAAACTCGCCAGCATTGTGCCCAAAGCAAGGCCTATGGGTGGGAGGGCACACACACAGGTAGCTGCTGCCGTGGTCAGCAAGACGCCCCAGGCCCAGAGCCTACCTCCACCTCCATGTGCCCCACACAGCCACACTTCTAGCCACAGCCCTCCACCCTCACCTCCATTCCCCTCTCCCTGGGCATCCACCAGAGGCTGGGTTCTTCTCAGCTAATCCTCTCACGTTCCTATGAACAGGCATTATGGTTGGCAGCATGCACATTTTCCAGATGGGAAGATTGAGGCTCCAAGAAAAGAAATCAAGTCATTTGCCCAATATCCTACAGCTAGCAGGGGCAAGACCAGGATTCAAATCCCCAGGCCACTCTGTCTCTGACACCACAGAAACAGGGGAGAAAGCTTTGCTCTCACACAAGTTCTTGCTAACATGAAATTTTCTTGCTTTTGTTCTACAGTCTTCAATGTGTCTTCATTTCTTTGCCACCACTGAACACAGCTGTCTGCTATCACTGTAGCCTGGGACTCTGAGCTTCCAGCAAGTGGGAGCCCCACCTGGCTCATCCACTTCAAAAGAGGATTGCATGCTAATGAATTAATACATACAAGAAAGTGTTGCAAACTCTACAATCCTATATAAATCTTAAGAAGATTGGAGGAGTTTACCAAATGCTCTGTAATGCATTTTGAAGGGCTATCCCTTAAAAGAAACTGACCATACTAGAAATCATCAAGACAAGTTTTTCCTTCTTTCAGTGTCTTTATTTAGTCTGTACTTACTACTCGCACACGTTAGTTTCACAGTTAATTTTACCACCTTAAAAACAGGACTCAGATCAAAACCCAAACATGAACTTAGCCACTGACAGTGATTTTCCTGGTGGCTCACGGAAGCCATTGCTCTCAGAGCTTCCATTTCCCCCTCCCATTCAGCAAAGGAAATGGGAGGGAAAGACAGCAATTCCGCAAGGTCTTTGTGCACTTTGAAACTTTTGTAGCTTCAGTTGTTGGTGTGACAAAAACCATCTGTAGACAGAATCTAGAAGCAAGTATATGAACATTTGGGGAAGGGTGTTGCTTAGTGGGTCATGTTGTCTCCTGCCAAATTCTGTGACAACCCAAAAGTGCAAGAAGGGTTCCGAGAAGAGCCGAATGCTGCAGTCAAGCTTCATATCCACCAAGACAAAGGGATTTAATCTGCTTGGGGACGATTCTGCTCGCTGATTTTATATACTAACTAAGTCATCTGAGTCTAAAGGATAAAAGTTAAAAGCTGCCTAAGAACTTTATCCAGGGCCTCTACTTTCCCAGACTAAGTTGATACTGGAAAGACAGTCTGGTGTTTCAACCAGAGGACAGAGCCCACGAATGTGCAGCTTCCATACTATAGTGAACATTTCAACGACCCCGCAGCCGGGGTTCCCATATCTTCAGGTCCTACTGAGAAACAACAGACAGACAGACCTGCTGGCACCACCCTCAACGCACAGAAAAAAAGAGGCAAAGAAAACCCCTTTCATCAGTACTTTGCTAGTGCAGAAGTAACAGGTGACACAGAGCCTACCTTTTAACGCAGCACGAGGAAAATACTAGCCATAGCAACAGGGCCAGGCCCTGTGCTTACTGCAACCTCAGAGTATCCCTGTCCGAGGGCGCTACTGTTATCCCATTTTACAGAGGGGGAAACTGAAGCCCAGGCTCAAGGTCACCCAGTTGTGAACAAGGCACAAAGATTCAACCCACATCTACTGAACTCCAAAGTCTTTGTCTTAACACCTGGGACCCCACTACTCGAGGATCTTTAAGTTTCATTGTTAATCATCCCTTCAGTACTTGATTTGTCAGCTAAATGATCAAATGCCAAAGCAGGCACCAATTTTGCAACATACACACTCTCTAATACAGCCCATCCTAAGGTATCCCAGCCAAACATCAACCTTCTGGAACTGATGTTGAAACATGGTATTAGGGGTTCCACTGCAGGCAGGAAAAATGGGCAGATGACGAGTATCTTGGAGAGGGTAGAAGTGGGACAGGAAGTCAACACTTTCCATTTTTAACTGCATGGATGTACAGACGTGCTGGATAACTTGCAAAGGGTGAAGTGTCTCCCACGAAGCTCAGGGTGCTTCTGGGCCTGCAGGGAGTCACAATGGCTTCTTGCAACCCCAGCTGGAACCTGTATCCATCTGTCCCTATCTCCCCTGGTCCTGTGCCTCCTGCCTCTGCCTCCACCACAGCCACCCTGCCCTTCTCTCAAAGTTCATTTCCAGGTTGTTTGTGGGGAGCCCTCCCCTCCACATGTGCAGCCTAGGTGTGGCCCTCCCTCAGTCATCCTGTGGCCTCAGCACACAGCCTGCCCACAGCAGCAACCTGACTGATGCCTATCTGCTAAGTCAGTATCACAGCAAGAGCACTGAACTTGAGTCCACGCTCAGCCTAGCTCAGTCCCAGAGGAGCTGCAGGGCCCTGGCTGAGCTCTGTAACTTTGCTCAGCTTTCTGCCTTTGTAACAGGTAAGAAGTCACCCTTGTTCTGCCCGCCTCAGCTATAAGTTAAGGAGGTAACGCCCTGTAGGTGGGGGCACTACAAAAATATCCCTAAAAACACTGAAATCCTTAGGCAGGCACAATTCCTAGCAGGGCACAGACCCTTATTAAATGCTTATAAATTGGATAAAAGCATCTCGTCTTCACAGCTACAGCATTAGCTTCTAGGGGCCAAGAATATGCTTTTGAGTCCTCCAAGCACCTCGCTCCTGCAAGTGGGCTGGTGGACATTCAGCAGGGTGAGTGAGAGTGGCTGGCTGCAGGCATGAAGCACCTGCTGTCCCTAGACAGAGAGGGCATACTCACCCCTCCCTCACCCCTCCCTCCACAGGAAGGTGTGTCCTTGGAGGTGCTTTCTTCAGTAACTGGGGTTAAAACATATTCCCTGATCTAGTCCTTCAGGTAATCAAAGGCTGCCAAAGGCCACACTTGGGGAAGGACTGGGAGTCACACTACACGGCTTGAAAGAGACTTGACCTGTGTCCCTGGCTGAACAAAGTGGCCCAAGCTCCCCTATGTGTCTCCTTAATGGAAGCGGGGAAAGCAAAACAAGACAAAACAATAAACTGAGCTGCTGAACCAAATCGGAACTCTGCTCTCCTGGACTTTTCAATGCTGTAGGGATTTTCTTTTTAAAGCAAATAACATTTCAAGAGGAGGGGGAGGAATGACATTATTCAGGGACATAAAAGTGCTGAGATCCAAAAAGCCAAAACAAATCTGAACATGGGAATGAGACAGCCCATGTAGTTTCTTGAAACTGAAGCCAACTGCATGCATGACTTGTCAAGAGTTCATTTATCAGTGAAAAATAACTGACAGACGAGGTTCCTATACGCACTCCCGTAATTCTCACGACCGCTCATGTACTTTTAACCCACAAACACTATGAAAGAAGAGCTTGCTCTAGACTGGACGTTGCATGATACACTCAAAAGGAAGAAGACAGGGACAAGAGGCACGGAGAGAGGAGAACTCACACTTACCGAGTGGCCACAGAGCTAGATGCCGCCTTCTGCTCCAAACCAGAGGAAGGGAAAGAATGGGAAGAGAATCAGAGGACAATGAGGAGACTGCAGCAGGCCCCAAAGATAATCTACTATCATGTTAAGCCACTTAGCCTAAGACAACCATGACCTGTTCTTCAGTCGGACCTATTTACAAGTATACTGAATTTACTCAAACCATGACTAAAAACCCACAGAAGAGGGGTGAAAAAAAAAGATTTAAAAACAAAAATGGAAAGACCCAAACAAAAGGCTGTGTGGCCTAGGTGGATCAAGCAGGACTTAGGGGATGGGGGCTCTGGGCCTGACAGTGCCACTTACTAGCTCTGCCCAATTTGCCAAGTTATTTCCCTCCTCGGAGCCTCAGTTCCCTCACGTGTCAAAAGGGATGCTGGGCCAGATAAGTTGTTTCTGACTAGTGAGACTGCAACTGCAGTCACATATCAGGTATGTGGCTTTCACCAGGTCTTTATGCCTCTCTGGGCCTCAGTTTCCTCACGTGTCATAGGCAAATGGCAGCTCTGGAGAGAGCATGAAAATCACTAGATTTGAAGGTGCTGAATGAACTATGAGAAAGGACAGTAAGTTGATGATGCCCGTCTCGGATCAACTGCTATGCTGGCCTTTCCAGTCCCACTCAGACCTGATATGCAGTTCAAGGTCCAGGAAACTGGACAAAGGCAAAGGCCAAATCCTTACTTGCTGCCATCAAGTGCCCTGGCTATGACCTTCCATAAAGCAGAGTCAGAAGCAGGCCACAGTGACATTCTTGCAATGGGTGGGACAGCGGTAGGGAGGAGGTGGTGTTGCAGAACCAGCACCCTCTCTTACATATCCATGGGGTGAGGATGGGGATGTATGCAGGATTGCATATTCCGAGTTTAATCTTTATGCATACAGGGGCATCTTGGTGTCGTTCAATGACAACCTGATTTACAGGAGTTTCTTAGAGAGCCAGGAAGTTAGCCAGTGACCAGTTTTGACATCTTCATCTTCTACCTCTCAGGACAAGAATCTCCTTTTCCTTTACGAAATGTTTATGGGCTCTCGGACTCTCCCTCTGCTGCAGGACACTCCACCCCCAGCCCAGGCTACACACACAGCTTTCCTACCGGTGCAGCTCCAGTCGCTCAGCAGGCAGGGAGAAGCATTCCCGTTGGTGTCTACAGCTCTCACAGAACCCCCAGAGCCACTGCACAGAGGGAAGGTAATCTCTCAGCAGCTGGGCCTTGGAACACAGCTGCGAGGGCGTGATCTCTTTATCTAGGAGGCCTGCAGTCTGGGGCCCCAACACACTGGTTGAAGACAGTATCACACTGGGACATGACAGGTGATGCAAGAAGATCCCAACAAGCTCTGTAAGAGCTGCTATAGGCACGAGAGGCACCAGGTTGCCCATTTGCCACCCATTCATCAGAGGTCGCATCCTAACCTCAGCTCACACTTCAGGACTTCCCCCTTCCTGATCTGACTGAGTCATATCTACCAACCTACAGGGTCTGTTGTAGAAATTAATCAGACAGGCTCATCAATCACATGGTAAGCCTTCCGCCTTCTCCCCTCTACCCCCACATCACGCTGTAAGCTCTACCACACATTCGAGAATGCCATCATCTGCCAAAACAAAACTGGAGGGACTCTAAGCTGACAGGCAGGTCTGTCATATGACAAGTATACCCGAGCTCTGTGGCACCTCTCAGGTCAAACAGCCAAAGCTATCTACCTGACTTCTACTGCAGGGGAGGGTTCTGGAGGGCAGGATAAACTCTAGTAAGACTACTCCCACCAGCAGCCACAGCACAATGGCGGGGGAGCTGCTGCATGTGTAATAACAGCCATCTGTCTATACACAGATCAAAATAGCACCAGATTCTTGCCTCTTAAGGCAGAGAAAGAGATTCCTGCAAAGAAGGGCTTCACCGCCAGGCACAGTGGCTCACGCCTACAATCCCTGCACTTTGGCAGGCTGAGGCAGGTGAACTGCTTGAGCCCAAGAGTTCAAGACCAGCTGGGCAACATGAAGAAATCCCCATCTCTATAAAAAATTTTAAAAATAGTCCGGCATGGTGGCACACACCTGTGGTCCCAGCTACACAGGAGGCTGAGTAGGGAGGATCACTTGAGCCAGGAAGGTCGAGGCTGCAGTGAGCTATGATAGTACCACTTCACTACAGCTTAAGTGAC